GGCCCTGGACCGCTTCCATTAACTTTAGCCTTACATATCTAGCTGCCTGTTTGACATCTCCAGTTGGGTGTATAATGGGCACCTTACCATTACTACATGCCCAGCTGCCCACTGACACCCATGCCCCCTCCCTCAACCCAAAGCCCTGCTTCTCCTGCATTTTTCCCATTCCAGGAAATGTCTATTTCATCCTTACTGTTGCTCAAGCTCAAGCCTTGGAGTTGTGCTGGACCATTCTCTTTTCTTCACACATCTGAACCATCAGCGCATCCTGTTGGCTCTCCCCTCAAGCTGTGTCCAGAATCCAACCACTTCTTGCCTCTTCTGCTGGTGTCAGCCTGGTTCCAGCCACCATCAGTCCTTGCCTGGTGCGCTGACCCCTCCCCACTCTGCCCTTACCTTCCTTACTTCCTCTCAGCCGAGCAGCCGGAGTGAGCCTGTTAGGATATAAATCACTCCTAACGCCGCAGTGGCTCCGTCTCTCTCAAGTGAAGGCCGAAGTCCTTATGGTCACCTCCACATCCCACCTCGCCTGGCCCTCCTTATGATTCTGACCTCACCTCCTTCACCTCCTCAGCCCCTCAGCCCTCGTCATACCCTTGAATACACGAACACGCTCCCCATCTAGACCTTCTCATTCGCTGTTCTCTCTGCCTGGACTAATTCTCCCCCCAGTCATCTCCATGGCTATCTACTTCTCCTCTGGTCTTTTTCAAATGCCACTTTGTTAGCGGGAGCTTCCCTTCCTTCTTTAAAATTTCAACACACAGACACCCACTCCTCGCATTCCCCACACCCCTTCCCTCTTTACTTTTTTCCATGGAATCTCCATCTAATGGTTCACTTATTTATCTTATAAATTGTGTGTCTCATGCCACTAGACTGTAAGCTCCATGAAAATTGGGGTTGTGGCTGTTTGTTCCCTGCTTAATCCCCAGTGCCTTGAGCCAGGCCTCACTCCTAGTAGACACTTAGCACATATTTGTGGAATCAATGAATTCTGAAAGGAGATTGTCTTTCGTACTTTTTATGGAACAGTTGTCTTAATTTCTGCATGAGCTTTGGTGGAGCTTGTGCGGTGTAGTAGTAAAACCAGTGGACAGCCAAGTACAAATGGAGCTTCCCATTTGGCTCTTTCACTCACAAGCTGTGTGACTTGGGACAAGTTGCTTAGCCTCTCTGAGTTTTCATTTCTTCACTTATAAAATGGAGAAAGCTGCCCTGCGTATCACTCAGGGTTGCCGTGAAGGTTCAATGTATGAAGGGCCATCAGGGAAAAGATGCCGTTTTCATTTAACATGGCATCTGGTCCTGACTTAATGCCAGAGCTTTACGTATATGACTGTCTTATTTGATTCTCACATCAAGTCATTGAGATGTGAACTCATACTACTGAGCTCATTTTATAGATGAACAAACTGAGGTGCCCCGGAAAGTTAAGTGAATAACCCAAGAGCTAGGCAACAGTAAAGCCAGGATTTAAACCCAACTATTTTTATTCAAAAGACTAAACTTTTCTTCATTATGTTCTCCTGGCACAAAATAAATATTGTAATGACTGAATGGAGTAATGAAAAGGATTTGACCTCATGTGCAACTTCTGTCTGTCTTCTGACTTTTTTTCCAGGACCTTTAATTAATGTAGCATTTCCCTGTTGTAATTTTGTTTCCCCTCTTCAGCTGCAACAGGCAGAGATTACTGTCTTGCAAAAAAAAAAAAAAAAAAAAACGGTGTTGTCAGCCATTCCTCTATCTTTCCTCTCCTTCCCCAAGGAAGGAAACTATCGTAAGTCTCCTGAGATTTTTGTTGTACAGTCTAGGTCCAAATGGTTTTCTCAGGTTCAGACATCATACTTAAAGTATTTGTAAAGTATTTGTAGTTATCTCCTGAAACAAATTCTAGATGAAATTGCAAACATTCACTTCCCAAATAACTTATTCCATGCTCTTCTGCCTTGTTATGTGTGTTATGGCCTTTCTGAGCTAATGAATTTGTAAATGTGGCTTAATTACTGTTTACTGAAAAATAGCTGCACACACATCAGTCTCAGCGGGAGACTTAGCCCAAATGTTGAGGCAATTTGTTTCTAGTGCAAAAACAGCTAATAAACAGAGAAGAGCTTTTGAAATATTGGGAAAGGAACTTAAGTTTGGTTTTGAAGAAACAGAGCTTTATATATCCACGGAAATAAATCATTTGTTAAGAGGGTAGGTTTAAATATCAATGTGGCATTTTTTCCCAAGGCTAAGCACACACCGATTTGCACAGAACCAAAGTGTAATAATCATGATCTGATTGAACACCACACGGAAGAGCTTACACTCCAAAGAAATCCCCAAAAAGAAAGCTCAAAATTACTTGTAAATTCCGTAAACATTTCAGAGCTCTGGAATTATGTATTACCTCATGTTCCTAAATTCTTGCCTCAGGCAAATTGCCAACTTAGCAACTACATGAGAGTTTTAAAATTCTAATAAAAACCAGCCTCTCTGACATTGCTTTTTTTTCCTCCAGAAAAAAAGAAAGGGACACGAGGGAAGTGAAAGTTATTGGAAGGTCCAATTCATCAATTCCATTTGTGCCCCATTTGGAGTTGTGGTTTAATTTTGCTCTTGCATAAAGTGGTGTTTGTCCGATTTCAGAGGGACCTCTGCAAATAAGTTCCCTGCAGCTGTTGGTTCTGCTAATAGGAAGGGATCTCTGTTCTGCTACCCTTCAGGGGATGCCTGCCTCGGGGCAGGAGTGGGGCCCCTGCCGCCTCCCTGGCAGAACTCAGAAAACAAAATCAGCTTGGCAATTATTAAGGACTGTTCATCGTTTCCTGAACCGTAGCTATAATGAAAGAGGTTTGAGCAGTGTAAGATGCAAATGCTGCCCTCTAGGCATTTATTTTTAGTGGAGGCAACAAGCAGATATACCAGCAGTTCAGCATAAGAGATCCCAAGGGTGGAGACTGAGGGAAATGGGTGAAGCAAACTTCTAGTTACGAGATCAGTCCTGGGGGTGTAATGTGCAGCATGAGGACTATAGCTCTGGATAATTGTATTGTATATTTGAAAGTAGCTAAGAGAGTAGATCTTAAAATTCTCATCACAAGGAAAAAAACTATGTGAGGTGATGGATGTTAACTTATTGTGGGTCATTTTGCGGGATATACATATATTAGGTCATTATGTTGTACACCTTAAAATTATATAATTTTATATGTCAATTATATTTCAATAAAATTGGGAAAAAAGAGATCCCAAGACCAAGTCTTAACTAGATAGCTTTAGTGTGCCAAATAGAGTCTTAAACGCCATGACGTCATCTTTGCGGTAGAAGGACTCTTTTTCTAAGAAGATTTTTCCATATTTTCATGTTGAAATTATTTATCTATCAGTCATTCCTTTGTTCATTAAGTCACCAAATGTTATTTGTTGTGGACTCTAGAGAAACAAAACAACCTCAAAAGAGAATCTGTTTCAAGGGGCTGACCCTGCAGTGGCAGGGGGACAGACATTAATAAATAAATGCCCTGAAGTAAAAGTCACAAAAAAAATTGGGAATCACTATTAAAATTGGATGTATTCTCTCTCATATATTCTATAGTTTTTCAAGCCTTACTTTAAGGATTTTTCCCCTGTAGGAAAAATGTAAAATCTAAGTGCAGAGGCCCTTTATGAGAGGGGTTTATCCTGACCATGTTTTAACAGGACTTTGAAAACAGAAACTAAGCTCAGTTATCACCTCCTCCAAGAAGGCTTCCTGGAGATCACCTGTGCCCCCTTTTGGCTTGGGTGTCCTTCCTATGTACTCTCACTGCACCACGTCCATTCCCCTGGTTCCATGTATTGAATATCTATTGCATTGTCCCCTTACTGCCACCATAAACCCTGTACATATACAACTAAATGCCCTTTAAGGAGGAGGGGCCACAACTTACTCATCTTTGCATTCTCAGCTCCAGAAACATGCCTGGTACAGGGAGTTCGATTAAGTTGAAATCTGTGTGAATGGGAAGATGACAATTACAGGATTTTTCTTACCTAATAAGTTGCCTTTATTCCCCACACTATGTTAAGTTTAAGAAAAGGTAACAAAAGAATGTATTTTCTTGTTTTTTGAAATGTAATTTTATTAAAATACATATTAATAGCATATTTAAATAAGTATGCACATAAAAAAATCTAGGACACAAACCAAAATGCTAGGTGTAGTTATCTCTAAGAGTTAAGATTTGAAACAATGCTGACTTTTTTCTTTACACATCACTATGTTGTTTTGCTATTTTACTAGAGATGTGTGCTAGTGTTATGATAAGAATATTAATTTATTATATTTTAAAAAGGAAAGTTTGGCCTATTCCATAAGCCACAATCATAAGACAGAAACAACTGTATGAAGCATCATCTTTACCATCTAAAGCTAATGCTGACAATAATTTGACTGTTAGTTGAAATAACTGAAGTAGCCTTGTAGCTTTTAATGGTATAAGATGGGTTTCTATTTTCCTTACTCATGTCTGTGTTTATAATACTCAGAAGGTACCAAATCGACACTTTCTTGGAAATATTCTAGCAATAAAACATGGTAAATTATGTCTTTTGCTCTCCCTTCTTCCTCTCCTTAAATTCTCCTTGCTGTATTAGGAATTACTTGGATTGGGTGTTAGAAAGCCTGTCTTCTTAAAGCCAGGCTAGACCTCTTGCAAATAGATAGGCGGAACTAAGTAACCAATTTCCCTCTCTCTCTTTCATTATGAATCTTTTGTTTTCAGCTTGTCTTTGTATAAAAGAAATACCAGTTTTCAGTATACCAGTGGTCAGTGATATTTCTGCTCTGCAGCTTCTACCTGCCTTCTATTTTTTTTGACTGAACACAGTTTGGGAAAACCTAGACAGTGTTACTGGAGTAAAATAGAGTTTATTTCCTTTTCTCAAAGGAACCATCACAAATTGTAAAATGTGCCTCTAAAGAATGGGTCTAAAAACTTGCACATATTCTTTTCTGCCTACAGCTAAACCCTTGCTGCCAGGATGGGGAAACAGAACAGCAAGCTGCGCCCCGAGGTCATGCAGGACCTGCTGGAGAGCACAGACTTTACAGAGCACGAGATCCAGGAATGGTATAAAGGCTTCTTGAGAGACTGTCCCAGTGGACATTTGTCAATGGAAGAATTTAAGAAAATATACGGGAACTTTTTCCCTTATGGGGATGCTTCCAAATTTGCAGAACATGTCTTCCGCACCTTCGACGCCAATGGAGATGGGACAATAGACTTTAGAGAATTCATCATAGCCCTGAGTGTAACATCGAGGGGGAAGCTGGAGCAAAAGCTGAAATGGGCCTTCAGCATGTATGACCTGGATGGAAATGGCTACATCAGCAAGGCCGAAATGCTAGAGATTGTGCAGGTACGTAGCCCTAACCCTTTACGAAGAGGAGAGTGTGAGTCACAAGGAAGAAGTGGAAGGTGTATGGTTCAGCATAATGTAGGGGCTGCAAACTGGAGGCCCACCTGGGTATTGATTTGGCTTACCCAGCACTTTTGACAATGCTGAACGAGTATTACAGAACAGGGAGGTGGCACATAACGTGCAAATGGATCTGCATCTCTTGAAAATTCAGGACATCTGGCAACACTGAGCCCATATTCTGGCCTGGCATAAGTCACCTGGTGCTTCCTGGTGATCCCCACCCTGCCAGTGGACGCACACTCTTCAGCTGACCATGCTAACTATAGCCACTCCCTCTACTCATTGCAGCAATATGTCTGATCTGGCCTGGGGCTTACATCCTCTGGAGGGGTATTTAATGATCAAACTCTCACCTGGGTTCAAACCCTGCCCTTTCAGTCACTCCCTCCAGTGACTTTGACCAAGTCAGTTTACCTAAGGGAGCCTCAGTGTCCTCATCTGTAAAATGCAATTGCTGATGGTTCCCACCCATCAATGTGGGGTTATTTTAAGATTAGGTATGACTCCATGTCCTCTGCTCAGCAGAGTGCCTGCCATATAGAAGAGCGCATCATCATCACCATCATTAATTTACAACTTTATTAGGCTTTTGAATAAAGATAGGGACCTCTAGCCTAGGTTCTGTCTCACTAGAAATACAAACAAGTAGAATCAAAACCCCCATCATTTTGAAAGGAAGTACTCTGTTTTATTTCCCCAAATCACTCACCTAGAGTAAATTTCCGGAATGAACAGAAGAGGCCCTATTGATGGCCACACTTTCCCTGTGAAACTTCAGGATCTGGTGATGATGGGGTACAGGAGCTATGGTCACGACAAGTACATCTTATTCAGCAGTGAGTGGGACCCAGGGACAAATTTAGGGAAACTGAGGCATGGATCTGGAGACGATCTGGAGAGCGTCAGCTGCAGGCAATAAGAAAGACTAGACAGGTGGGCAGCACCTGGGAGGGCTGCCAGTTGCTCCTTGGCAAGTGGGGCACAATAGGTAAGCATCTGGAAGCAGACAGCAGGTTCGAGTGAGTTGGGATTAGGCTTCGGCGAGGGCTCATGTCAGAGGCCAACACTCCTCCTAGGATACTGGATTCACGGGTGTAGCCCCTGGAGAACCCAGGCCGCACCGGAAGGGTGGGTGGGGGGGAACACGACGAGTCAAGGGACTTGGCTGCTGGCAAGGATCAGGGTGGAGGTGTGGGGCACTTGCTTTCAAGGAACCAAGGGGACCTGGTTGCAGAAACTAAAGTCAGAGCCCACAAAAGACTCACAAGACTGACTTTGTAGTGGCGGCCTAAGGCCTGCTCCTGGCCAGTGGGCCAAACCCACATGGGCCATTAGAATGGCAACCGCACAGGTGGCCGGGATGCAGGAGGAGGGATCCAGATGACCTCTCTCTAGTCAGAAACTCTCCAAAATGTGCCAACTAGTTTTATTTCTGCTTGGGCCACCAGTGGCTTCTCCTTCACCCAGAGCAGTAACTATCTGAATAAGGTGTGTTGAAATAATCCCCCAGAGACAGAGATGTTAAACAAAAATAAAGGATTTTTCCCTCTCCCAAGGCTAAATATATGAAAAATACAATGTCTACTGTAAAAATATGGGAAGTATCAAAAAATATATAAGAAGAATAGATAGATTCTCCATAATCCCATTCTACCCACAGAGAGTCACCACTAATAATTTTCTAACATATTCTCTTGGTCTTATTTCCACACATTAAAAGATATCTAGTTGATTTCATAATACATATGAAATTTTATATCTTGCCATTTTCATTTAACATAATAATGCAAACATTTCTCATGCTATAAAAGCCTTTATAAAGATATTTTAATGGCTGCATAACTGTCATGCAATAAAATTTGATTTTCCCTAATTGTTGGATATTCAGGTTGTTTCCAGTTTAAATTATAATACATAATACTAAAACTCTTAAAAATAAAATAACAAACAAGTAATTCTTGTACATGAAACTTTTCCTATATTTAGGATTATTCCCTTAGAAGGATTCCCAGAAGTGCAATTACTGGGCCAAAGGGAATGAGCATTTATTTGTAAGGCTCTTGATATATTCTGCCAAATCGTTTTTGCACAAGTACTCCCAGAATGAGTGAAGGGTGCCCCAAATCATTGCACCTTTCTGACTTTTCTTAATCTTTGCTAATTAAGCAAAAATTTTAATTTGAAAGGTGATTCATTTTAATTTGCTTCGTTTTGTCTCTCCTTTTCCTCCGGGAGTGCTGTGCTCTGACCCTACATTCTCTGCCTCACTGCAGTGAAGGGGATGAGTATTTCTCCTTTTGGAGAGGACTGCTTCCTGATTGGGATTTTAAGAAAAAGATGCCCATCAGCTACTGTGCTATGTATGTCCTGTTTAATATGTTTGTATGGTTCTCCTAGCTGTCCCCGGTCAATGGTTTGGTGGCTACTCTTAATGAAGATGTTGACCCCAAGGCAGGGAGACTCTCCACACCACATGGGCTTCTGGAAATCAAACCATTCACAAATTCATTCCACAGGAATGTTAAGCACCTACTAAGTAGCTGGCACTAGGAATAAATAGCAAAGGGAGGAAAGGAGACTCGTCCTGTGCTACAGAATCCAGTGCACAAGGGAGAGCGAGAACTCTGCAGGAAATGTGCAGAAGGTGCCAGTAAGCTCTTCCGAGCCCTTGCTGACTGAGTCCGTATTCAGTACAGAGTGCAAAAACATGATCATAAAAGTGAAGGAGCATTTAGTGTAACAAGGCATTTGCTTCACTTGCAAGCTTGTTCTGTTCACAGGTCTACAATTCATTTCCAGATCGTAACTGGAAGGAAACGGATACCTTAATAAATGTGTATACACTCAGGATTTTGAAGAAGCCTGAAAATGGAAGGCTCAAATGTCCTAAATTGTTTTCTACAGTACCCCATCCTAATGATCAATATCCATGCCTGTAGAGAGAAAATACTTCAGCACCTGAGGCAACTTCAAAATGGCCAATGAGATTAAAGTAGACTAAGATTTCTCCGTTAAGGGCTGTTGTTCTCTTCTGCTACTTTGCAAACCAACAATTCATGTATTCTGTCTGTTTCTTAGGCTAATCTCTGGTTTTCAATTATTCTAGATGAACTGGAATTTTCTGTAGAATATTATGGAACTTCCAGTTCTATTTTTTTTTCCTCTTTCCCTCCCCCACCTGTGAAAACCTACCTCTGAGGCCTTGTCACTGGCCCAAGAAGCTTTTGTGGCGATTTTCTGCTTTGGGTTCTAGCTGGTCCACCCTGTTTTGGAGAGTATACGTTTGCAGAAGCTACAGTGACGTCAGAGGAGTCCCTGTCAGGTTTCTGCTTAGTGCCAGGTCAGATATCCGCTGGGGAGCGATGAGGTGGAGGCAAGCCGTGGGCCAGCAGCGTCACACGTGAATCAAGGTCCCATGCTGGTACCCGTCAAGGGGTCCTTCTCAGCGCTTCCTTTCTTTCTGGTGTCTCATTCTGCTTCTCTTCCACTCATAAAGGCTCTTGTTACTACATTGTAAGTGCCCAGATAATCCAGAATAATCCTCCCAAGTCAACATCCTTAACACATCTACAAAGTCCCTTTTACTATGTAAGGCAACATTCACAGGTTCCAGAAATTAGAACACGCATGTCTTTGGGGGCCATGATTCAGTCTATGACATACACCAAAATGCAGTTATGTTCCTTTTTTAAAAAAATAACTTTGCTATATCAACATCTGTATAAACAAGCAAAACCATATGTCGATTTATTTTTAGAGTCTTAAATGAACATTCCACATTCATGTGTAGGGGTGTTTTTTTTAAGTGACAAATTCAGGAACATAATTTAGGCCCACTATTTTATTATTGCATCCAAACCACCACTCAGGAGTCTTATGCAGGTAACAACTCAGACCTTTCCCTCCTACAGTGGATCCTTTCCTCCAGGTGGGGCTAGGGTCAGCCCACCATCACAAAAGGAGGGCGAATCCTTCTTGCCCTCCCCAGTCCCTGGTCACTCAGCCCATCTCGAGGCAGGTCTGCACGTGGCCCCCAGCACAGCACAGACTGTGTCCGAGGGAGGGGCGGACCCAGCACCTGAGTGGCGTTGCTGATTGGGCCAAGAGCACCGGGACTCTCTTTGGGATCCGGGGCTGAGGGAATGCTGACCTCTGGGATCCCTCGGGGGACAATAGCACTCTCAGGGAGAATGTAGCAAGAGCATGGAGTGAAACTGGCCCCCGTTCTGTTCTCAGAAGGTAACTGGGACTCTTTGAAAGAATAACTGTCACTAGTTAGGAGTCCATGAGCTGCACTGCGTTGTCTGTATGATTGTATGAAAATCACAGGCAGAGAAAAATTGATTTCCTCTATGTCCAAAATAAGGATGAGGTGGGAGCCAAGGGAAGAAATGGAAGAGTGGGTGTCTTGGATGCAGCAGTTCGGTGTCACCTTGCCTCTCTCCTTTTCCCTCTCTTGCTGGTAATCGTAAGGGTTAAACAGTCATTGCAAGTAGAGCACCTGGGACAGTGCAGGTCACCGGGTATCACTCAGTAAATGTTGGCTCCTCTTCTATCGCAGCATCCAGAGCTGGGACAGGATGTTTCCCCACTAAAGAAAGGGAAGTCATTTCCCATTCAAAGGACAAGGTAATAGATAGACTTTTCCATTGAGTTCTAAATTAAATATACCTAGTGGTAAAGTGTATGTTTCACAGAGAAGAGAGGGAAGTACCTCAGTTAAACTCTCAATTGGTGGAACTCGCAGAAGAGAATTCTTGTACAGATGAGTTAGGAGTTCCTGGCCTTCTTCAGCTATTATCTTTTCTATCAAACATCAGCCCATCTGGGAATAAGCTTAAACTTCTGGGCTACTCTGATACCCACAGGATCCAGATCAAAGAAAGATCACCTTTCTGGGAGAGAATGTGGTGGGTGCCAGAAATCCGCAAACCTGA